AGAAGGCTTTGCCAAGAAACTAGAAGCTGTTTCCCCCAATTCATGTCTTCCCTCCAAGCCAGATGCCTTACAAGTCAAGCAATGCACATATGAACACAACATGACTTAGTCCAAACTGAAGAGCAGAATACAGCCAAACTGTAATTACTAATCCTAGAGCAGAGCAGACTTCCACGAAGGGACATACAGGCCAGTCAGCACACAAGTAGAATTATGAGCACTAATGACAAAGAGGCAAATTTTAATGATGATACATAGGTGTCTCGACTATGAAACAATGTCTGAAATATCTACTCATTTATTCCCAAACTTCAAAAAGTGGTTACTATGCCAGTAACAGAGGATCTGCAATCTCAGCATTTGGTGGCTTTGCCTTATTTTTCTTTGTTGGTTATGCCAGCAAATCACATACGAGGACAGATGATAAATATTTCTCATATTGGAGAATGCTCTAATGCTTTCTGATAGAGAGATCTAAATTATGTAGTTTCTCTTTTTTTGTGTGTGTGTGTGTTTAGGTTTTTAGCTTTGAAATGGGGAGTGAAGGGCTCATCAGCTGCAAAGTGTTCCTTTAATATCACCCATGCAAAAATTACCTCTGCAATAACCATCATTACATTAAATTACATGCTTTCCTTTCTCAGCTCAGTGTGAAGACTAGATGTAGAATAAAACAAGAAAAAAAACCCAACTCACTGAAAAGCCCTTGTACAGTACTGTGCCTACACCACCAAGGTAAATATACTTTCTGCAGGGAAACAAAGTCATTTAAAGACTGCCTGTCTTTGTTGGAAGTTTTAAATGAAACCTAAGTGAAGCTCCCTCACCTATTCCAATATTCATTCCACTGTAATGATGTAATGCCATTGCTGAAAATACATACATATCACTGTGAAATTCATGAGTAAACAGTCATGAGGAGCTAAATAGTGAAGATAATTTTGCTTTCAGCATTTCCTTAATTTTTAATAATTTTCTTAGCAACCCAAACATTTTCATGAAGTCTTTTTCAATACTGAGCAGGAGTTTACATATTCCACCACTTTCTCTGAATAACCAGTAATAGCTTGGGGGTTTTCTACTTAATTTTAAAGATATATTTGTACTTGCTGGCTTTTAACAAGCATATTTACATATTGACACTCTGAGGTTTTAAAGTGAAATTCATTTTGAAAAGTGGCTTGTTGAAACAACATTCAAATTTTGCACCTTTTGCGTCTCAGTGACTTCCAGATAAAATTAATTCCATTTACAAACTATAGACTTGGGGTACTTTTTTTAGTGGTGCCTTTTCTTAACTCTCAGCCTGTTTGACTGCCTAGGAGCTGAAAAATCAGCTGCACTCTTTCTGATTCAGTCCTTAATACTGGTAGTTACAACTGTGCAGGACAAAACATGCATTCAAGGAGAACAGGGCAGTGTAAGTAAAGTCAGACTCAGTGTAAGTAATAACTCAGAAGAGAGTTAACCTGGTGACACTGAATAGAAAGCAGTTCATAGCTACGCATGCATTTCAGCATTCTGAAAAAAAAAAAAAAAGAGGCATCAATAAGTTTCAAGATTTTGTGGGCAAGGCATGTTCCTTGATGATGGTTAACTCTGTAGCAAGGCCATGAGCAGCCACAGCACCATGAGCAGAGGTAGAGAGAGGCTGCACAAGGCAAGTGGACACTGATGGGACTGAACGGAAAGACGAAGAGTCCTGCTCCAGGATCTGCAGCCCCAGAGCACAGCTTGAATAGCGAATGACAGATCTCCATGTCCTTGGACAGCGAAGGTAGGGTAGAGGGCAGACACCTCCCCATTCGTAGAAGTGTCCCACCCCACACTGGGCTCTGTGCTGCTGCAGCCCATCCATCCAGTTATAACTTTGTGAAGTTCTGGACCAGTTGGACCAGTAGTAATGATCATGTGAATAACCAACATATTCACTGTAAAGAACGTGGAACTGCTTTTACTGTTTGACGTATATTTAGACTGTGAAGCAAGAACCAGCTGCTGATGTCTCAATGGACAGAGGGTACTGCCAACTCTATCCCAGCCAGTTTGTATCTCTGAGAGAGGTCATGGCTTTTTCTTCAGCCTTTAGAAATCTTGTTGGAAATTGGGAGAACTGGGTGAGAAAGAAAAGGACCACAAGGCAATGATCAAGTGTCAAGCAACAAGGCAATGATCAGTGTTCCTGAACTCATGCTCTTGGAATTAAAATGTTGCTACTGTGGACACCTTTGGCAACAATGACATGCATCACAGGAAATGTTTATCAGCTCTCTATCAGCTTCTCATGAATTTCCCTTCTACTCTACAAGTTCACAAGTTTATTTTTAACTCCTGAATGTGAAGAGCTAACAGAGATACTCTGTATTGAGAGCATCGTTTTGGGAGTTTGAGAGCTTTTATATTTCCAGTGAAACAATGAATAAGCATCTACTTGATTTTCATGTCAAGCATGGCAGAGATAACGTCCATCAAGATCTCCACTGTGCATTTTTGATAAAAGTGAGAATACAATACCATGTTTATGGTTTAGAATTCCAAAGCATTCATAGGATGTGATGTCTTCTAAATGCCACGTCGAAAACTACATACTCAACTGAGCTTCCCAAATTATCCTAGAAACATCAATGACCAAATCTGTGACTGGGGTGCCAGTGAGCTAAGCAGGAAAACTTCCTCTAGGAGTTAAACGCATCTATCAACTGAGAGAACACAAACCAGCATGAAACCTCTTCTGTAAATCTGCCATTAAAATAAGGAGCAGCTGCACCAAAGCCAGAGCTTTAAGGAACACAGATGACATCTAGCAAACAGCACATTCATGAATGTCAAGGTATCTTACAGTATAACAAAGCGTATCTAGATTGTTGTGTCATGGGTTTACCAACTAGCCCCCCTGAGGCTGAAACCAGTTTTTTCCAGGTGGATTTCAGGAGAAAAAGCCAATCAAAAGTTTTAATAATGCCTCTGCAAATTACATATTTAAGAAGATGGAAGAGAAGGTTGTTGTGCAGATGAAATCAGGAGCCATGTAGGGAGTGGTGTCAGGCCCCAGGTGGGGGCCAGGCCTCCTCCTCCCCTGGCCCTGGGTCGAGGGCAGGTGTGGCACTGAAGCCCCCGTGGCCGAGACATGTAACTGAGTGAAGAAAAAACTCTAAAGAAAGACTGCCTGTATGAGAAATACTGCAGAAAAAAATTCCAGGCAGAGAGAGATAACAGACCTCCAACATCAAAGCTGGCAGCTGCAGGAGGGAGAAGTCGCGGAGGGGGGCTCCTTTTCCACCCTCTCTCTCCTCTTCCTTCAGCAGGGAAGAGACTGAAAACTAAAAAATTCCCTGCCACCTGTGGAAGATTATTGGGGAGTGGAAAAGCCCCCTCTGCAGCTCATGAAGGAGCCCATGCCGAAGCAGAGTGCATGAAGTAGATGTGACTCCATGGGAGACCTAAAATAAAACAGAGTCCTGCTGGAGACCTGTGGCCCATGGAGAGGGAGACCTACACTGGAGCAAGTCGGCCTGGGTAGAGTGTTGTAATCTCTGAGGGATTCATACTAGTGCAGCTGAATTTGTAATCCTGAGGGACAGCAGAGAATGGAAGAACTGTCGTCCAAAGGTAAACTCAGGCTAGAGAGGTCCATCAAAGACTGTCTCTGTCTCTCGTGAGGAGGGACCCCACAGGAAACAGAGGTGGACTCAAAAGCCATTATCCTCTGTGACTTTGTGGTGAAGATCCGTGGTAGGCAAGTGTCCCCTTGCAGTCCATGGAAGGTCCCCACAGGGCACGTGGGGGGATAATGATAATAAGGGATAATAAGCCCAGCCTCTGGGCTTAGCCCAGGAGGGGGTAAGCCCAGCCCTGAGGCCGACATAGAAGAGAGAGAGAGAAGGAAAGACAGTTCCAGCTGCGATGAATCAGAGCTGTTGTCTTGGAGATAGCAGAAGAAGAACTTTTGAATACTGTAAAGTTATTTGAAAATCCTGTAGCTCTGGAAATGGAAAAGAGACCAATTCTCTTCCTGAACTGCTACAAGGGGGGAGGGATATTTCTGTAAGTATATAGTACTTTTGCCAAGTCAGAATTGTTGTATATATATATAGTTCTTTAGTTTTTATCTTACTTAAATCCTAATATTATTCTCCCCAATCAGATCTCTTTCGTCTGCATAAACCTTCTCTCAACTTATAGCAATTGTGTTCGGGGTGAGAGGAAATTGACCCAGAGCAAACCCAAGACATGTTGCAACTGGATTTTATTTCAGGTCATGTAGCACTAATGGCAACAATCCTTAACAAGAATACTTTTTAATCATTATGTTTATCATAGCTCCTAGACAATAGGAGAGATGACATTACTGCACTTTTTTAGTACACAGTGGAAAACCTGAGAAGATAACATATTCTAGGCTATTTCCAGTTTCTTTTCTTTCTCTTGGGCAGAACTCACAATTTCTACATTGCAAGATAGTAGGAATTTAATTTTTAATACATTTGAAACCATGTGGAGGAATTATACACAAAAGTGTACTGTGGAGAAATTGATTAGTACTTTCATTTATTTATTTGCAACATCCCAAAATAAGCAGATGAAAGGAGAAAGGAAGATACGTTTATTCACCAAACAAATATAGAAAGGACAAATTTGAAGTCTGATATAAGTAACTAGTTGGATACATGATTTGATGTGTTTTGTTCCTCTTGAGTAAAGTATCTTTGATATTAGCTTTGACATAAATGGTATTAATCTTTGTGGCATCTTCTCATTAACATACTTCTAAATATTTAAATTACTATAACTTTCTCTTTAAATAGATACATATTATACATTAAATTTTTTTGCTAGCTTTCAGATAACTAATCTTTGAGAACTGGCTTAGACTGTATGCTCTCTGTAAAGAATTTCTGTATGCTCCTCATACAGAAACAAATAATAGTTTGAAATATTTAGCCATATGTTTGGATGATTTTTTTTTTTAAAGGTGTTGCTTATCTTTATCTTCCAGTCAGCTACAGGATAATAGCAGCAGCAAGCACATTGGCAATGCAGTTCATTGCTTGTTTTTCCCATCTTACTGTGCAGGTTCCATCTGTTGTGGTATCCCAGAAGCATGAGCTTGCTGTGTGAAGACCAGCTCCACTCCTCTGCATCACTGCACAGGTAACTATGTACTTGTATGTTTTTCCAAGTTTCACCAGATGTGTCAGTGACTGTTCCACTATAGCAGCAGGCCACTGGTTGACTTGATGGTGATTATAATCTGCCTTGCCTAAAACGCCTTCTGTGCACTCCTTAACTATATTGTGGGCCTCATCAGCACAGAAGATAATCTTGTTGTTTGTCCATCTTACTACCACAGAAGGAAAAGGGGAGCTGTAATAGGATCACATTTGCTTTATTTTTTCATATCCTCATTGGAAAGACAAGCAGACACACAGGAGTGTGTCAGGAGTGACCCTGACAAACAATACCATTAAAAAACCTTTCACAAATTGACACACACCTACTTGCAGGATGGGACAGTAACATATAATCAAAGAAAAAACAATTTGGCCTCTGCCTTCCAAAGAAGCACACATTATGCACTGAACTTGCCCTTAATACACCTCAACCTTGACACTGGAAGATCCTACGATCTCTAAATTATTTGGACTGGAAGGGACCACAGAAATTCCCCAGCTCAACCTCCTGCTCAGAGTAGAATGAGTTGTGAGATCAGATCAGGTGAGTCTTGAAAACCTCCAAGAGCAAAGACTGCGCAGCCTCTCTGGGCAGCCACTGCTTAACCATCCTGGTGGAGAAAAGGTTTCTCCCTAAGTCCAGTCTGAACTCTTCTTGTTTCAACTTACATCTGTTGACTCTTACTCTACCACTCTGCATCACTGTCAACAGCCTGGTTCCCTTTCCTCCATTGTTCCCACATAAGCAGTGAGGGGCAGCTGTCAAGTACCTCTGAAACCATCTTTTCTCCAGGCTGAACCAGCCCTGGTCCCTCAGCCTCTCCTCACATGGCAGGTTCTCCTGCCCTGAACCATTGTGGTGGTTCTTCACTGAACTCATTCCAGTTTATCGATGTCTCTCCTGTGCTCAAGGGACCACAGCTAGCCACAGTATCTAGATGTGCCCCCCTAAATGCTGAGGGAGACAATCACTTCCTTTCACCTACTAACTCTGCTTCTCTTAAAAGAGCCCAGGATGCTGTCAGCCCTCTTTGCTGCCAGAGCACTGTGCTGGCACATGTTTGCCTGCTGTTTATCACATCCCTACATTCTCTTTCAGCACAGTTGCTCCCTACAGTCAGTTGCTTGTATTGCCTCTTTCCCAGATACAGGACTCCACATTTGGCCCTACTGGATTTCCTAAGGTTCCTGTTGGCCCACTTCTCCAACCTGCCCAGGTCCCCCTGAATGGCAACCTTGTGCTTTAGCACACCAACTGGTTCCCCCAGTTTGATGTCATCTGTATACCTGATGAATGCGCATCTGGTCTCCTCTCCCAGGTCACTGATGTTAAACAGAGCATGTCTCAACACAGACCCTGTGCTATTCCTCTTGTCACAGGCCTCTAGGTTGGGCATGACTCAATAACCACTAAAACAGTCCAATCCCACTTCACAACACCACAGAACAGCAGATTGCATTGCTTAAACAAAAATAAGTGGGTTTACAACAGCAACATCCCAAACTGCTTTGTGGGCTATAGTAAGTTTCAAAAGGTCATTAAAAAAAGGTGTGTTCTTATCTTGTTTGAAACTGAGTCTGAACATTAAAAGCCATCTTCTGTGCAGAGAATATATAATCTTCTTAAAATTATTATTTGTCATCATACTTCCCTTTAGGTAATAATTTTATATTTAGGACATATCACCATGTCAGCAACACTCACTATAAACAAAGGAATAGAAAGACAGATGCAAGCCACCCTTGAGCATAGGATATGTATGCTTACCATACATATCTTAACAGGTTGCTTATAAGGAAAACATAGTAAGGAAAAAATTAGCTTTTTTCCTCACTCTATAATTTACCAAACTTATAGACAAAGCATGTTCTAGAGGTTAAATAAAACTGGGTTCAAAACAGATCGGACAAATTCAGAGGATAAACCGTCTCCAGTGGCCACAAAGCACAGTGATCCAAATTCAGTCTTAGGACACACTGAGGACCTTTATGTCCCATCAGTACCTCTTACCAGCCTCTTTCAGAGAAGCACACTGTGCTAGGGTCTTTTCCCAAATCAGTTCCCAAGTCTCTCTAACAAAGAGGAATGTTTAAAATAGGGCCTCCTATTAAACAAACAAACAAACAAACAAACAAACAAACAAACTCCACAGCTTTCCATTAACTGCCTCAGAGTTTGATCTTAAGCCCTTGCAGAAAGATCCTACCATTTTGTCTCAGCTTTCAGAGTACTCCAGGCTAGTGTAAAATACCCCTACCAGGCTATGCTGCAGTATTAGGCACTGTGACACAAGAAACAACTCAATCCAGAGATTCAAGCCTGGATCTGAATACTCAGAGTAATTAAAATAACATCTGCAGAACTTCTAAAAATAGGTTTCTCTATTAACAGGTAAAGTCAGTATCTTCTATCAGACAGTATCCATTCCTCAAGGAGTTAGCTAATCTCGAGAAAAAAACCTGTCAATTGCTTCAGATAATCATCTTCCAACTCTTTCTACAAATTCTCCTTTGTTATGCTGCCTACAAAACTTAAGCAATATTCAGAGCACAGAGGTGCTGAATTCAGGGCATAGTATCATGCTGACAAATATCACTTTATAATGCACTGTGGACCATGGTGGTTGGTTTGTTTGCTTGTTAAGTAATTTCAGTGGTGTAAATAAGGGTTGGGATTTCTGAGAGGCCCAGCAGATTAAGATTTCTGTTTCCTGCCCTACAAGACATATAATTTCTTTTTCCATAACTCAGGAGATGGAATTGTTTCCTTCTAATAAGAGGCAATGAAATGCTTGTTGTGCTAACTGGGCAGCTTGGAATGTGTTGAAAAGGTGCAGAAGATAAGATACAGGATGATAAGAGTATTTGGATATGACAAAAAGGTTGGATAAGGTATTTGTAGGGTCATTGTGACATTAATTATATTCAAAATTCAAAAGCAGGGGATATGCAATAAAAGCAGGGTTCATATAACAAAAACCAAATCCTGTGGTGTGGTTTGGTTTACATGGCTTATAAAGTCCATATACATGGAGCTTCCTCCAAACTGGTGACTCTATCTCTTAATCTCAACAGAACAAGATGATTCAAAATGGAAGCATGAAAGGGATCTCAAAACACTGGTGGAGTTATGCATTTTAAGAGTACCCTCTTTGATTTCAGTAACAAAGAAAGTTTCTGCTTACACACATAAATAACTTTCTTAGGTACCAAATTATTTATTCTTTTCTATGACACTTTATGCCAAGTAGGACTTGTAACAGGAACCATCTGCAAAATGAAGATGACACTTTGCATAATGATCCCAGGTTAGTCCCTAAGCCCATAATAAAATGTATATAGTAAAAACAACAACAAAAACATACCACTTACAGCAACGTGTCACAGTCAAAAACTAAATCTCACAACAAATACCAATTTCCCAACAACATATTAGTTCCTATCATCTCTTAGCCCTACACAGAAGGATCAAAGCTGTTCCTGTGCCCTAAACAGAAGATCCTGGGAATTATAATGGACTGATTTCTGAAACAAATTATCAATGCCATTTTTATTTTTAGGTCAGTTATTTAAATAAACAAATTTTCTCATAGTTGAAGTTTCTATAGGTGGGTCAGATAACAGCAGATAATGTGCTTGGAAATTCACGCCTGAGATTTCTAGAGAAGCCTACTGGAGTTCAGCAGGACCTGAGCCTGATGCACTGACATGTTTTTGAAGTCTCAGACTGTGGTTCACAACAGTCGGTTATTTCTGATTCATGGGACTATGGACATATTTCAGCATGATGTCAAACACTGTCACTGCCCCAGTGATTTCAGTGGGAGGATCACAAGTGGTGACAGAACTATGACCTGGCTACTGGAGCTTAAGTGTACTTTCTGCTGTCATAAGAAGATAATTTCACTAAACTATATGGGTTTCTTAATTGCTCCACACATTATTAATCCACAGCTGACTCATCTTCAAGCCTTACACACGCCCAGGATCACAAGAAGAAAACAACACGTTTTATTTGTTTTGCCTTCCATCTGAGGATCAGAGGGTAGCTTATCTGCACTGCCATGCCTTTATTAATTAGCCAAATATTTTCTGCATTTTATAGATGGACATGTTGAGCTACAGTGCTTTTCTTCCTTGCCTATCCTCATCTTGCATCTGTTTTTCCAGAAAAGTATGACTAAGTTCAACAGAAGTGATGAGGTTCACAGAAGAATTACTGTGCAGAATATGTGAGTTATTATGTGGGAGAGCAGGTTAAACAGTACCTTCTCACTTCCTACTTCCCCTGCCAACTCCAGCCTTAAAATTGCATTGATGGGATCCTTATCTTCTACATTTCTTGCCCAGATTTTATCACAGGACCATTTTCTGTCTCTTAAGGGGAGTTATGGGGTTCCTCAGCTCCATTCCTGTATGGCTATGCTATGCCAGTGATGAGAACTTTGCTAGGGCAGTTACTATGAGTTTCTCCCAGATTTTCCAGTCTTCACATTTTCACTGTGGGTAGATCCCCTTGACTTTCTAAATGATTATACCCATGTGTGCCCTATTCAATGTTTTCTGTATACCTAATCCCAGATTTCAAGCTGACATTATGCAGGTGTGACACTAGCTGAACTTCAAGGACCAGTGTTGGAGTGCTTTTGCAGTGGTACAGCTGGGTTCCCACATGCCCTTGACTGCCCTCTGTCTGAGGGTCCTGGGGACAAGTTATCACTGCCAAAGGGTCTGTCTGGCAAAACCTCAGGAGCAGATGCAGAGTGGTCTACAGGCTGGACAACTGTGTGTCTTATCAGAAGTATCTATTAGCTGCAATCTTCCCAGGGACATGCTGCTTTTCACCCCACCTCACGATGGGTAAGTGCTACAGCAACAGAGGGTGGCAGCCTGGATGAAAGGCCATGTGTGATCTAGATTTAGATGCTGAAACCCCCTGATCTCATCTAACATTTTGCATTATCACAAGCCATTTTATTTCCAATTGTTGCCCTTGCACTAGGTTCACTTGTGTTGGAATACAGGACAGATTTATGTCTGGCTACACCGCATCTACCAGGAAATCTTTTAGTCTTTACTAAATAGAAATGTTTAATTTGTCAACCAGCAGTTTCCTCTAAAGGTTAGCAACCTCTCTTATTAAAAATATGAACCCTGCATCTAATTTGAAATTTTCTGGCCTCAGATTCTAGCCACTGACTCAT